ATCCGGATACTCAAAAAAACTTTTTCTTTTCGTGATTCCACTCAATAAAGATTAATTATAATTATATGGGATCGATCTTAACACATTTGATGGTCCAAAAAATCTTTCAAACAAAATTTTCGGAGGTTCCAATTAAATAGGATCGATGAAGATTACTAGATCTTTTTTTTGAATTGGTCCCAATCCTATATTCAATTACATCAAATCGACCTGTTTTTACGAAAGTACCTTTTAATTTCATACGACTAACATTCAATTAATCAAAAATAACATTAAATTGACCTTCAATTTTATTTAAATTAATATTTAAAATTTAAACTTCATCAAATTAACATTAAATTGACGAAATTAACATTCGATAGTTTGTTCTTTTCAATATATAAATTGATGAAATTAAATGTTATCAAATTAAAATTTTATTTTATTAAATTGGCACGAATTTTTCTTTTGTAACATTTAATTTCAATTTTTTAAAAATAAAATTTTAATTTCATCAATTTAATGTTAATTTGATGAATTTTAAATTTATAATTTTGAATGTTAATTTAATAGAATTAAAGGTCAATTTAATGTTATTTTTGATGAATTAAATATTAATTGGATGAGATAATTTCGTAAAATTGCAGGTCAATTTGATATAACTGAATATAGGAGTGGAACCGTTAAAAAAAAAAATCAACTAGTCATGATCAATCCTATCTAATTGGAACTTCTACAAATTTTGTTTTAATCGATCTCATATAGTCATGATGGATCATAATTGAGTGAAATGGTAAAAAAAAAATGATTTTATAGAATATTTGGATCCATCATAGACATTGGATTGGTCCCAAATAATATTGATCGATCAAGACTATTAAGATGAAGTTATACTTGTAAACACAAAGTTATAATCTCTTGATGTAAGGTTATTTCCTTTCAAGGTAAAGTTACTATTCGAGAGATAAAGTTAAACTATTTATGGTTAAATTACATTCTGTGTAAAATCAACACATTTAAAGCTGATGTTATACTCTATCTATTCCTAAATATCTGTCGTTTTACATAATTTTTTTGGTTCCATAATATCTATCGTTTAATGAAATTAAAACATAATTAATATTTTTTCTTCTAAATTTACCCTTAACTTTTCAATGTATTATATTAGGTGGAGGGTAAGTGTTTTTCATTTTCCTTTCCTTCCCAATACATATTGAATAAGGGTATTTTAGTCTTGTGTAATTATTTTTTACTCATATTAGAGTTATTTAATAGTTTCCTTAATCCCTGTACAAAAAATCTTAAACGACAAATATTTAGGAATGAAGAGAGTAATATCTTAAGGGAAAGTTTATAATTTTATAATGTAAACTATTAGGTTTGGAGGTGAGAGTATAATCATTTGAGATTAAATTACAACCTGTAAAAGTAAGATAATCCCATTTAGAGGTGATGTACAAATTCTTTAGGTAAAGTTTCAACCGTTAAAAATAAAGTTACTACTTTTGAAGATGAGGTTATAATCATTTGAGGTTAACTTATAATTTGTAAGGGTAAAATTATCAACTTTAGAGGTTAGGTTATAATGTTTTGAAGTAAAGTTTTAAGTTACTATCTATGAACAAGGGCGGAGCAACATAGGAATGAGGGTGGGCACTTGCCCCCACCCCCCGACTTTTTAAATCCTGTTGTTAAGGAAGATAGTTTTGGTTATTTTAATACGATTGTCCCCTTTAATTTTTGGAAATGTTTAACTAGATTCTTAGTTTTTTTTTTCAATTTTTGATAAGTTAGTGACCTATTGCCCCCTTCAAAAAAATCAATGTTTTAGTTTATGGATCGAGTACACTAGCAAAGTAAATGATGATTTTAACCAGATTTTTTTAAAATGAATAATAATTTTATCACGGATAATATAGTTTTGTACATTGAAGAAAATTACTAAAAATTTAGTTTATTATCAATTCATTATATACAAATTTTAGGATTTTAAATAACATCATCTTCTATTTTAATATGTGATTGAGTTGAAATGCACTAAATATAGATTATTTTATGATTTTTTATTTACATTTTGTTGAAGTTAAAAATTTAATGGTGCTTTCGATAAATCGATGAATGAGCTGAAATTTTTTTCGATCATAGTTTGTCCCTTCTAATGTGAAATGCTGGCTCTGTCCCTGTCTATGAATGTAAAATTAAAACTTTTTAAGGTTTAGTTATCAGCTCTGATGATAAGGTGAGATTACAGTTACTTGAGGTGAGTTTATCCCTTTGAGATAATGATAATTACAACTCTTAGAAAAAAGGTGTAATTTGAATATGTATACGGTGCCGATATTTAAAGATTGTTGGTGCCAAACCCTCTCCCTACCAAAGATTTAAGAGAGTACGAGAATGACTTAGCATCTGCTCATCATGGTTCATGATTCCCACCCATGACCCACCACCATCTGTGTTGTTTTCCACTTAGGATGTGTTTGGGTAGTGGATTAAAGTAGGTTAACTTTCATAAGGATAGAGTAATAAGACAATGGGTCCTACAAAACCTTTGTTTGGAAAGGAAAAAATAGCCGGGATATAAATCCCCAGTGCTACAGTAATTTTTAACTCTACTACATGGGTCAAAATTAACCCACCTCTCCCATGGGTTTCCATCCCAGCCGATGGGTTATGAAGGGGTAATTACATATTTACCCACCTCCTATCCTGGGAGCTCTCTTCTCACTTTGTGAAGGCAACGAGTCCCATGGCTCTATCTCTCGCTCTTTGTGTGTCTCTCTCTCCCTCTCTCTCTCTTTGTGAAGGCGACAAAGCCCAAGCCTAGCGGTTTTGTTGGGATGGGTTTGGGTGCCTGAGTGGACCGAATGAAGAAGAGAACTTCACCTGTTCCACCCCTAATCTCGATCGTTCACAGTCACCCGCACCACCACGATGGCGGATGATTTTATACCCTAATTTCTCTACCTCTCATATCAGAAATGTGACGGTGGGTGATTTTGAAACCCTAATTCTCCTCTATCTTTCAGATTTGAATCATTTTTGTGGTGATGGTGGTGAGTGTTTCTATGGTGGTCTTTGGTGTTTCTGTTGTGGCGATGGTTGTGATCTTCGATGTTTCTATTGTGGCGGTGGTTGTGGTCTTCGGAGTTTCTGTTGTGGCAATGGTGGTGGTTTTCGGTGTTTCTGTTGTTGCGATGGTGGTGATCTGTGGTATTTCTGTTATGGCAATGGTGGCGGCGTTTCTGTTGTGATGGTGGTGGTTATTACTCCTATGGTGGTGGTGGGCATTCTCCGTCTATCCAAAACTTCCCCAATTTTTTGTTGCTTCGAGTGGGTAGAACGAAGAAGACGATCACTGGCAGATGGATGGTTCTAGCTTTTGGGTTTGATGGATTTATCTTGGGAGAATTACACTTAGATCCCTTAAAATTTGTCATTTGATTATTCAAACCCCTAATATTTAAAATATTAAACACAAATACCCTCAAGTTTATATGCGCGTTACACTTAGACCCCTCAAGATTAATATATTCGTTAATAAATTACACTTAAATCCCTTTGAAGTTTGTAGTAGGCTAGGAAACACGGATACGGATACGTGACACGAGTACGATACGATACGGATACGGCGATATGACAAAACTTAAAAAAATAAGATACAGGTACGGTCAGGATACGTTTATAATAAAATATATTTTATATTTTATTATTATTTAACGACTTAGAAATTACAATTTTTCAACAATTATTTAACATTAGTAAGTAAAATTAGAAATTTTTACCATGAAAAAGTTATAATATCATCTCATTATGATCTGTTCATAAAATGAGCATGACAAATTAAAGGAATTATAATAGCATTTAACTAGTTGGTTTTACAAGTATTTATTTTTAAAAGTATAGTGTAAGTGATTCATTTTTTTATACCCTCTTAACATATAATAATAGATAATACTTAAAAAACACTCGTATTTTTAAAATCAGATGGAATTTTGTTGATGTTTTATATTGTATGTGAACTCCAAAAGAAGGGTTATAACTTAAAATTAAAAATTGTACATCTTACACCATATTTAAAAGTATCCGCGAAATATCCACATATTTTATTAATTATCGGATACAGATGATGCGTATCCGATACGTATGATCGAGTATTCGACGAGTATCGTATCCGATACAGTACCGGATACGGGTATGTCGACCTTGACGAAGTATCCGTGCTTCATAGGTAGTAGGTATATAATACTCAGACTCCTTAAATTTAAAATATTATATTTAGACCAAAAATACTTCAATCAAAAATAAAATATCAAATATTATTATAAAATCAAAATTCATATTCTATTGTATAATTTATTGAAATAAAATTAAAATTAAAATTTTAATTTTTTCTTAAAAAATCATAATTAGTGTATAATTATATTATCTATTGAAATAAAACTAAAAAATTAAACAATGGGTCTAAATCATATATAATTTTTATATGTTTTTAAGTATATATGAAAAATATATAATTTTATTAGGATAATCCAACGGTCCAAACATATTAAGGCAAGATTGTTTGCTTTTCTCCCATTGTAATCAATTATTAAGAAATGAAATAGTGTTGATTTGGTTGAAAAAAAAATACCAAAAATATATATATAACTTTCCTTATTTTTATATGTTTTTATGTATATTTAAAAACTATATAATTTTATTAGACTTGGATGGGTTAACCAAATATAAGATAGGATTGGAACGGAGAGAGTCATGGGTAGAATAATAAAATTACTATAAAATTATTTGTATAATTTATGAGGCCCACTAAATTATACATTTGTTTTCCAAACAAAGGTTAGGATTAGATATAATATTGGATTAGAATTTTAAAGTGAATGAATGGGTTTAACTTGAATTGGTTATGATATAAAAAAACAAAACCTACCCTATCCCACCCCATTACCCAAACACACCCTTAACGTATAACTACAAGCATTTTTCGGCGGGATGGAGAGAGACAGAGAGAGGGGAGAAAGATGGCTAGTGGTGGTGGTGCTGCTGCTGCTGCTGAGGAAGTGACGGTGGTGGAGAACAGAGAATGGTATTTATGTGCCTATGCACCAGAAGGTGTCCCAACTTCTGATCATCTAAAACTACGCACTGTAAGCTTCTCTCTCTCTGCTGACGCAATCCCAGATCAACACGTGGCTCTTCGGGTCATCTATATCTCTTTTGATCCATATCTTCGCGCCAAAATGTCCGGCCATGAAGATGGGCTCTACGTTCGTCAGTTTCCGCTCGATAAGGTTCTTCTATTACAACCCCATCAATTAGGGATAGTCGAAGTCTTAACAGGGATAACTTACAGATCTAAACGTATGGAGTTCAAATTGAGGTTAAATTATGAAGAATTTATTTTTGTGAATACTTTAATTTTGATATGAATAACTTATCTTTGATCGAAATTAACAAATGATTAATCGAAATGTGCATAAATTGATCCGAATACCCTGACATTTGAACAAAAAAAAAAATACAACAAATCAATATACTTGTGGGATTCGTGTTTTTTTCAAGTTGTGTCCTGGATAATTTACTCCATTTACTTCCAATTCATTTGTATTTGTATATAGTTAGATTTATGCATTGTATAAGTATAACGCATGCATATCTCATTTTAGTGGGATGGTATCGACTTATTTATACGAACTATCAAAATTTATAATTTCATGTCAATTTTGTCGAGTTTGCGGATTGTACCTAGAATTGCGAGCAATAAATATGGTGCTATTTATTGCATTTTTATTTTTCGAAAAGATCGTCTGGCGATTATCCCGTTAGGCTTCACCGATGCTTAGTGTTGTGTTGCAGGGAATAAAAGCATTCGGGATGGGAAGGGTAATTCGGTCCAAGGACATCAAGGGCATGTTTGGTATATTTTTTAGGAGGGATTTGGATTGGATTGTCCAAACCCGAGTTTAACCCAAAGATAAAATTCAACATTTAATGCTGTCCATACCCATGTTTGGTATGCGGAAGAATATATAACTATTATGATAATATATTTGTATATAAATAACTACTATGCCCCTTAACCAATTTGCATATGTGAGGTATATATGATATATAAGGATATAAATGTTATTTACATGTTAAAGCCCCAAACCCACAAATGAAACCCACCCCTCCCTTGGGTTTCATGAAACCCAAGTATGTGGGTTTCATGACTGGGCCTTGATGGAGTCGAGTTTGAAATCCTATCCATACTTTATGGTTGTCAAACATAAATTTAAAGGGTTTTACTTCTTAACCCATGTTCCCAAACCCCTCCAAATCCACGTACCAAACAACCCCCAAATTCACTGAAGGTGATATTGTTGTTTATCCTTCTTCTCCAGTGGCTGAATATAGCGTTGTACCATCCATTTTCCTTCAAAAAGTTGATCCAACGGTTGCGATTACATTACCAGATCACCTTGGTTGCTTCGGTAAATTGCTTTTGGTCTATTGAAATTAATTATTTCGGTATATTGTTTCGGTCAGTCAAAAAAAAGAAGTGTTTTGCTGTGTTTTGAAAACGTTTCGGAAATAAAATGAAAGCAATGAAAATTTTAAAAATTATTTTTCCAAAATATTAGTTGAAATATATAAAAAGATGTTAAAATATCTTAAAATATTCTGAAATAATTGTGTAAATACATTGAAACAGTATGAAACATTTCGAATATTAGAATTTCAATTTTATTACTGATTCGTTTCAGTCTCTTTGAAAACAGAAATGTTTTGGACATTTTGACCATTTCAAAACAAAATTTTTATCCTTATTAGTTTGTACATTGTCCTTTTTGCGTCTAGATCATCCGAATTTGGACTAAAATTAAATCATTTTGTTACCACTAAAACATGATCGATCATACGTTTCTCTTTTAAATTTTGGTCCAAATACAAATGAATCTAAATTTGGATGGTGAATTTTAGTTCAATAAGTTATACAATGAGAACGTGGGTTTAAAATTTAATTCATTATTCATACGAATTTTGAAAAAAATGGTATGACTATAATTGTTGATTACACGTTTTTCTTTTGAATTTTGGCCCGTATTCAAATAAATTTAAATATTAGTTCAATCGTATATTCATACGAGTTTTGAGGGAAAAGATACGATCAAATCTTGATTACATGATTTTTCTTTCGAATTTTGACCCGAATCCAAATGAATTTTTATTTTTAATTTTATGGGTGTACCTGGGTTCACTGCATGGGTGGGAATAGAGGTGCTTGGGAAGCCTAAGCCAAGATCAAATGTCTTTATCTCGGCGGCCGCTGGAGGCGTCGGAATGTATGCCGGAAAATTGGCAAAACTCAAAGGGTGTCCAGTTATAGGAAGCACCGGCTCTGACGAAAAGGTACTACATAACCACGAAATTTACGAGAAAATATTTAATACAACGGTAATATCATATCAGTATTGATGACATAGTATAATCGACTAAAAATAAAATCTCAAATAGACAAAGTGAACTCTATTTGGATAGTTATTGGCTTACATGGACAGGAGTTATTGGCTTGTGTGGGTTCATTTCTTTATTTGTCAGTATATTATTAGTTGGTGATATTACGTGACAATGCTGACATAGTATCACCGTCACAATGAATATTTTTTTTGAAATTTCCATACTAGCTGAGTAATACAACAACAATATCACTTGAAGGCTCACTCTTTATAGGTTGCTAGCTCTTGATTATTTTTTTTATTATTAACAATATATAGTAGTTTAGTGTTAACTCATTTAACACAATTTATGAAATATGTTAAAGGTGATTAATACTCAACATAAACCCAAAATAAAATGACCCGACTATAACACCACTCAACTCTAATGAGACTACTATTATCCGTAGTAGTGCGAAGCTAATATGGTAATGTTGATAGATTACTACAACCAAAAACATTATTGTCGGCGATTAATCAGAAGTATAGCCTAGCAATACCATCAACACAAAAACATAACAACATTCGTAACAATAATAATAATAATAATACACCAACAACAACAATAATAATAACCAATGGTTCATTGGTGCCAAACACAAAGTCTTGACAATACAAACAAAACAATTCGAATCATTAATCCTTCTCTATCTAAGAATTCTCTTTAGTCCGGCCCAAATACGATGTTGACCTGTTAAATAATTTTCTCCAAGTATTTGACCTGTTAAATAATCATAAGCTTAACTATTTGGAAGCTCATTCGAATCTCTATCTTATATATTTGAGATCTCTATCATGTGTAAGCCAAATTTGAGCACATTCCTAATCATTGGTCTGTTTCTGTTTGAGGTGGACTCAGAACTTGACTTGATAGGATAATTAGTATCTGTAAAATTTTTGAAAACTCATGCAGTTTGAGTTTGGTTCGTCAAAAGATCGTTCAAGATCAACTTGTACAATAAACAAAGTAAACTTGAATTTTATTTAAGGAAGAAAAAGCGAATGGGGAAGTGTTATCATTAGTAGAATGTGGAATTAGATCCTAATTTCTCAACAAAAGATCCTAACTTTTACTAACCCTAGAAACTTTATCAATCAAGCAACCCTTTTTTTATGATAAAATTATGTAATGATCTTTAGGACCTATACTACATGTCATGTGGGCCCGAGCTTAAATATGTTAGTGGCCCCCTTAGGGTTAGTCCTTTGTGACTATTCTAATCTTGGTGTAAATGAATTGTCTTTGACTGGACTGAAGAATAGATTAACCGAGATGCGTGTAAACTAACACAAACATTCCTAACGTTGAACCAAAAAAAAATGTTAGTTGCCCGGGGAACAAGCAAAAAGATTTGAGTGTGTCAATTCAAATATTTCATCTGCAAGGGAAAGCTTGACTGGGCTGCACTACCTAACTTTAGTTAAATAGATAGTTATTTTACTTACTTTAATGCTTATTTTAAAATTTTACAAGGTTTAATGCTTATTAATGTCCTATAAGGTTTAATGGTTATTGATGTCATAGTAGTCTCAATATGGGGCAATAATGGTGATGATCATGTATTGGGTCTAACAAAAAGGTGAAAAATGGAGGGAAAGTGACATTCGATTTTTCTTTTTGAGAAGGTAAGACCATGATTTTAACATACTTATAATACAGAATTAAAACATAATATCAGATATACCTTAAGCCATTAATGCAAACCTTTGAATTACTTAATAAAAAATTGATCTATCATTTGGTGTATCTCATAAATCAGTTTATCTCTCTTGACCTTTCATATTTCAATACACAATTTGATGTGACATGTGTATATTTATAGGTAAAGAGAGATGATCGGTTCCCTAATTCAATATAAACTCTACTGAACATCAGGAAATCACTTTTTCTTATCAACCAATCAGACGTTAGTTATGCGGTTAATTTAGGATTAATAACCTTATCATTATCTAACTCAAACTAATTATCCGATAATAATTAATAAAATTACATGTGTCGAATTATGTGAGCCACATTAATTTCTTACAGTAGGATCCACAGGTAGACTTAATCCATAGAATAATTTCTCCAGCACCTAATTCCGAGCCAATTTAGACCAATCATGGTGGACTTTATATCCATAGAATAGTTCTTCAACACATGTTCCAACCCAATTTTAAAAAAAAAATTGTGGGTCATCATTCCAAACCTAATTGATGCTTGTTCCTTAAGGAGGTTTCTTGTCACTCTTGTTTCTACGCTCAGTATCACCATTTGTATATTTTGCAATCATATTCCATTTCAAGTGGCCGTGTCTAATATCAGACTGCTAGCAATATATATAGGGCTAGTTCTACTTTTTTTTTTTTTTGGTTCAATGGTCAAAGGCAAGTCATCTACGCCGAGATTAGGGTATTCATGAGAGTTAGTTCTATATTTACCTTCAAAGTATACACTTATGTTTACTTTAGTCCTTAATTACTGTTTCTCAATTTCATTCTCCAACTTTCAACTAAGTTTTAGTTCATTTTAAATACGGACTCTGCTAATATTTTTCAACTTTTGATCCTTCCTTAATAGCCCTTGTCGAAACTCTATGTAGGTGAAGTTGGTCAAGGAGGAATTTGGATACGATGATGCATTCAATTATCACACAGAGACAGATTTCAATGCTGCTTTAAGCAAGAAATTTTTTCCAGAATTTCCTTTTTCATGAAATACCTCCCTTGTTACAGATTATAGATGCAAAATGCGAAGGCTCACTTACTATAAACCGTCATATAATGTACATATTTCACATAATTGGACATAAGAGAACTAGTCAGCCTAATGCATTATTTAGCATCGAATAATTCAGAACTAAGAAGCGTGAAAACTAAGAAATATAGCTTGTAATGCAAATTGAAAAAGTTGTAACAGTAATCAGCCACCATGATTGATTATTAAAGCCTTGTTTGAGAGTTTGTAGAGCATTGGTAATTTGTCAGCAGCCATGGCAGTTCTGCGAATGACTGGAAGTCTTTGCATATATTGCAGGTTTTCCCCTAATGGCATTGATGTTTACTTTGACAATGTTGGTGGTAACATGCTTGAGGCTGTCCTTAACCATGTCAACAATGGCGCCCGAATACCAGTTTGTGGGATGATATCTCAATACAGTAAGGTATAATCAATGATCTCCACAACCCAGTGTGGCATTGCCAAGAATATTTTATAAAAATGTCTGGATTTTCTGATTTTGTTACCACTCTACCAGAGTTGTTCACTTATTTCTCAGGTTACCATAGTTTTGTACTTTTCAATGTTAATAAAAAACATGTTACAACTCGCCTTTTCAACATTCTTGCTTTTAGTAAAATGTTACACACGTGAGTAGAAAACACTTTTATAGAAGTCACGGTAGATTAGGAACCTACTGAATTTGGTTGGTAAAGAAGTGAGAATGGAAGGTTTATGATCGGTTCATATCGAGATCGCTTTGGGGACTTTGCAAAAGAGATGCAGGGTTACATAAAGGAAGGGAAGATCAGTTTCAAACACAAAATCTGTCATGGTATTGAGAGCTTCTTGGAGGGCATAGCTTCCATGTTCTCCAGCACAAATATTGGAAAAGTTATTCTTCAAATTTAGCACATGATTTGACAATTACCACTCATTATCTTTAAGGTTTTAAAGTAATTGTTGGTCTATTTGTTCTGCTCCATGACAAATGCTCCATATAAACTCCATGGCACACTATCAATTTGGGATAATACAGACCAATTATTAATATAATTATAAAAATATTGAGTTCTACCTCTTATTAATTCATCTATTTCCAAAAATCCTTGTACATGAATTGTGTTATGAATTAATCTATTATACTCTCTCGAATAGCTTAAGTTTTCGAAGTAGATGATTGTTTAATATGGTATCAGAGCTGAAGGTCTTATGTTCGAATCTCACCATTAGGGGTGTTCAAATTTCCGACCAGCCGCAAGTTCCTACTCGACCCGACCCTACCCTACCCTACCCTACTGAACGGCTAGCCGCAAAAATCGAGTAGGAATGCGAAAGAGTTTTTGGTCTTCCGACAATTTTCAGGTAAAAATGCGGAATAGTCATTCATTTCCACATTCCTACCCTACCCTACCCGCAATAATTTTTTAATATATATATATATATATAAACTAAAAAAATCCTAAACCCTAACCACAGGCGGAGTAATTATGATTTTAATGTATTTCATATGGTTTAAAGTTTAAACTTAAATTAATTGTTATTGTATTTGTGTAACAATTATGGTGGATTGATGTTTATATTTTCTTGTGTTTTATTATAATTCTTGTTGTAGTTGTTTCAGATTTTAGTGTTAATTGATTTATTGTGTTGTTAAATTGGTGCATGTTATTTAATTAAATTGTTAAAATGATCCAAAAATTAATTGTTACAAAAATATTTACCCGATTTCCTACTCGACTTCCTACCCGATTAATCGGGTAGGAATACCACACCTGTCGAATAGGGTAGACCAATAAAAAACTCTTCCGCAAAGTATCAGGTAGGAAGACGGAAGAACATATTTCCTACCCGTAGGGTACAGTAAACACCCCTACTCACCATCACCCTAATTATCAAAACAAAATTCTCTAGTTTGCACGTAAGTGGGCTTGTTGAAGTATAAATATTTAAGTTTCGCCATCTACATTAATTTAAGTTTTTGGAATAAATGGTTGTTTAACTGTGTTGCGTTTTGTGGTTTCTGAGATTGTTGCTGCCCATGATCTGTTAGTCAAGTTTCCGGGGTGGCGGAAGCAAACTTCAGTTGATGGCAGGGCCAACTCAATCACTCATACTAATATGATATTTAGAATCCGGTTGGAAAGGGGATTCTAATACATCATGTGATATTTATGGTAATAATCCTATAGCATAGATTAGTTTACTCATACTAATATATGAGGTTGAAAGTTGAAGCATGGTTAGGGCTTTCTCAGCATTACTCTATTCAAATAGGTTGGACTAAAATACTGCATTGGCTGTCTTCACCCATGTCCTGTGGTTCATGCTAATGAACAACTTGTTTATGAATCTTTTGTAAGTATATATACTATATATAGAATGTAATATTTCTACAAGGTGGCGTCAGAGAGTTGTGCCATTTTCAAACAGGTTTGAAATCAAAGATTCTCATAGGATCCAACTTGAGAGCATATATCATCTAGGAAAATATACATTAATTGTGAAACTCGGACTCGGACGTTATACGCATGCATTGTTCAATTTTAAAAGTTTGCCACTAACACGACGACACCATGGAGAATGGGTCGTCGTTGACATTTGAAGTCTTCTCTTGAAAGATTGGTAGTTTGCTGATCAAGTTGATTGAATATTAGAGAATGTTGAATTCGAGGACAGGCCTTGGCTCATTAGTGAGATTGTTTTATTATCACCTAAGCGCTTTGTATGCAGGGTAATGTTACATATATCCGCCCTTCCCAAACTCCAGAAGACGAAAGACCGACACTGTACTTTTTTTTTTTTGAAATCTAGATGATAAATACAGATTAAAGAGCCAAATTTAGAAGGTATGTCCACGGGTTAGGAATCCAGTCTGTGTGTGTGTTGTTGGTTGGGGGGGGGGGGAAGGGGGACATAGTTCCTAAATTAAGTAAAGAAACTGATAGTGTGAGGAATATGGAGTGTGATCAAAACAAAATTTAAGAAGGCCTGAGTGGAGGATAAGAGGAACGGAAAACACAAGTTTGGTGAGGAGAGGATTCAGTGGCTTGAAGTGAGGTGAGTGTGGTGAATGCCTCAACCAGTGCATCAAGTGCATGGGGCAATAGCACCAATACCACTCTTTCTCTCTCATGCAATCTCTATGCTCCTTTAAGAACCCATATCCAAGTGAAAACCTCACAAAAACTGTACAATTATATGACTCTCACAAAGCAAACACTACCTTCATGTCATTCTAGGGGTCATGCACGTGTGCATATAGGAAGAAGGAGAAAGACATAGGGGTAAGAAGAGGTTAGAATAGAAAATTTTAGGTTGTTAAATGTGGTAAATTGAAAGTTATAGGTGGTAAAATGTGGTAGAGGGACAGTTATACGTAGTTAAACATAAAATATTAGTGATAGATTTATAACTAACTATTATTAACTACCGATACAAAGAGAGGACACCAAACCCCACTTCTCCCTTTATTTGTTAATAGTATAAATATATCAAATTCTATTCTGTCGTTGTACAAGATCATACTTTTAGTTAATCATAACCATATAATGTCTACCCAATTCAATCATTATTGACACAAAGATGGCACATAAAAATAGCTTCTAGTTGAAAAATCTGAAATCCCTGCCCTTTAAGTTTTTTTCAGAATATTGTATAGTAATGAATGGTGGTTCATAGAAGTAGATAAGTTCAAAGGAACTTTTTTTGAAAGAGATCCAAGGATCTTCAAAGATGATTATGCTGATACAAAATTTCAATGGTAGGTCAAGTAGTAACATGGATAAGTTGTAAACTCAAATATTTTGAATTAGAATTTTGGCAACCTCTTAGAGTCAGGTTATGAGAGATTTATTTCTCATGAATACCTTAGTCCCGAAGTGGATTGTTTGCATTTGATCTGACCAGAAAAAAAATTAGTCGAAGTTTGCATAAACTAACTTGAATACTCGTCACCAATGAAGGAAAAAAAAAACTATGCTTACACAAAAACCTTGAAATGAGATAGGTTTTGATAAAGCAATATTGTATAGCTAGTCTTGTAGGGAATACTTGGGTATTGGAGTATGAACACAATGCAAAGGGCTACTGCATACATTTAGGTTAGAGAAGTGATGAAAGTGTCAATCGAACTTAACTGAAGCTCAACCCAAAATATTCATTATTTGGATAAAAAAAATTAGTACCCAAGATAGGCTTCGAAATATATATATATATAACCTTGAAACTGAGACCTTGAAGCCATATTAATGAATTTGAGTTCAACGTGAGTTAAACTTGCATTCAAACTAAATTGAATCTAAATTTCAATTACAAGAATTGAACCCTATAATCAAACCCGATTTAACCCACAAAATTGAATTCAAGAATTAAACCCTAAATTTAGCATAAGTTTGAAAATTTAAGCATAGGACTGGTGTTGAAGACATATTCGGGTTGAATTCACTTGGGTAATTGACCTCTCAATCCGCCCAGTGTGTCCAAGTTGCACGATTGCCAATCCCACAATCATCTCCAATGTTGTCTCCCAAAAAAAATAGAACTATATATAAATTTTCTAAGAAGAAATAGGTTGATGATTGAGAAAAGAAGATCTGCGTGAAGCCGTGTACCCTTTTAAGAGCAAATAATAGACATGCTAAAAAGCCAAGCATCAAAAGAAGCATCTTCAAGTCTGGCAATATGGTCTGGCTTCAATTTCAATCTAACGATCGTGTTACATCGTCATTATCACGTGATATTATCATTCAAATAGAAAACACAATTAAATGAGTAAAGTAAACTTTATATGAAGTGATTATTAATTTACATGGTAGGTAGTTAAGTAATATGTAGGATCCACTTGTTTACTTGTTATTTTTCTAATAGATGATAACATGTAAGACTCATAATTGAGTCAAGTTATTCAGACTCGACTCAAGCTCGGCTCGTGTTCCAAACGAACCAAGCTTGAACAATTTTTTAGACTCGTTTAAAAAATGTGTCTAAAATGACAGTTATCGTTACTTGAAGTTAAATTTGGTCAATAATCATTGAATTGTCTTCCCAAAACAGTCAGAATGGCAAAGGGGACAAACTCACACCTAATGATGATCTTACACGTGACAAAGAGTACAAGAGCAAGGGCCAATAGATGAAGATGCCCTAACTTGTGTGCAACCACTACAATCAAGCATTGAATAGTCCTTCTGAAGGATGAGACGTAGTAAATGTTCGAAAAATCCAAAATGAAGAGCATTAAGTGTTCGGGAGCCCGAGCATTTAATTCATGAGTCTTTTTCATGTAAGATGGAAGGTGATCTGTCCAAGGGCTGAGCACCGCCCACTACCTTCCAAAGGGGATCTCTTCTTTAAGGGGCTCACCTATCAATAATGATCACCTCTAGGGAGGTATAACTAGATCTCTAACTATCAATAATGATCACCTCTAGGGAGGTATAACTAGATCTCTAAAATTCAAAGTAAAGGGACACAAAACCTAACTCAGTAATACAACTGTGTTTTAACCCTTCTCCCACACATAGTGACTTGACCGTCGGCGGGGTTATACCGGAAAATACTCTGGCGCCCTTTTAACTCTCTTTTTTGAATGATAGATTCCTTCTCGACTCGCCAAAATCGCACGGACAACTGAAAAAATAATTCATCACCACTACTTACGATCTTTCTAACTTCTTGTTGCCTCGGGAACCTCAATTTTTAGGTAACTCTCGTGTTCACCAAAAGAAAGATCTGTCACTTTTTTTTGTTATTGTGTGAAAATCACGCGCACACAAACAAACCATTAATGTCATGTCAATATTCCTATGGTGGGTTGGAAATTTGGATATAGATGCTTTCAGTTCCTTCCCTCTCGATATACTCAGACCTTTTGAATTCCTTTGCAAAATGAAAGAAATGAAAGGTTGTCA